TCGGCGACGATGAGCGGAGGTAGCCGAAGCCGGGGAGAAGTGGAAGCGGGGGGGAAGAGGGGGGGAAGTGAAAGCAGAGGTGGTCGGACGTCGGCGCCGATGCGCGGATTGAGATCCGGATCGGGATCCGGATCCGGATCCAGATCGAGATTGGCTTCGAGATCGGGATCAGAAAACGAAAGCGGAGGCGGGCGGAGCTCGGCGGCGATGAGCGGAGGTAGCCGAAGCCGAGCGGAGGTGGCCGGAGGTGAGCGGAGGTGGGCCAAGAAAGGTGGAGGCCGAGGAAGCGGAGGTGGAAGCGGAAGTGGGGGAAAAGCGGCAGTGGGGGTTGGTGCGGGGGGGAAGCATTGGTGTGGGGGGGCAGCGAGGGTTCATGATCTGGATCGGGTTCGGGATCTGGATCGGGATCGGAGATGGATGGACGTAGGCAGACCTAGGCAGAGGTAGGCGGAAGTCGGCGCAGGTCGGGAGAGGTCTGTGGACCTAGGCTAAGGTCCGCGGAGGTAGGCGAAGCTCCGCGGAGGTGAGGATGGGGGAGACGACACCTTCATGATGGCGGAGGTAGCCGAACCCCGGCGCAGGTGGCCGGAGGTGAGCGGAGGTGGGCGGAGGTGCGCCGAGGTCGACGGACGTGCGCGAAGGTGAGCGAAGGAGGGCCGAACAACCGAAGTGGAAGCGGGGGGAAGCAAACGTGGAAGCGGGAGTGGAAACGAAAGCGGAAGCGGGGGGGGAAGCGGCAGTGGAAGCGGGAGTGGAAACAGAAGCGGGAGAGAAGTGGAAGCGGGAGGGAAGTGGGAGTGGAAACGGAAGCGGAGGTCGAAGCGGAAAGCGGGGGTGAAAGCGGGGAGGAATCTCTCGTAAACTAATGCCTCAGTATTTTGGTCCCTGGGAAGTCCTGGATGTAGTGGGGGATGAGATGGATGGTCCTACCTATGTTATCCGTATCCCTGGACACCTACGCACTCACCCTGTCTTTCATGCCTCAAAGCTTGCACCTTTCGCTGAGACAGATCAATTCCCTTCAAGGAGATCGATGCTGCCCCCAACCATGGATGGCCAAGTGGACATCGACAACATTGTGGATCATAGAGATCTGCCTCTTCAGAAGCCATTGGGTAGAGGAAGACCTCCAAAACCCAAGCGAGAGTATCGCGTCTGATTCAGGCATCATACAGATCCAAAGGAAGATCGATGGTTCACCAGAGAGGAACTGATTGACACAACTCCTCAAGTGGTGGCAGAGTATGAGAGAATGTTAAAAGGGAAGGCACCTGCGAAGTAAGCATCTCAGCGGACTTTCGAAGCTAAGGGGGATGGAATGTGAGGATTGAGCCCTCAAGAAGGGGCCTTGCCATGATGTACATGTTCTGGGCTAAGTCCCGAGCAAGCCTCGTGCCCGCCCTGAGTGAAGGCGGGCCAGCAAATCAACAAGAGCCCTCTGTGCAAACATTTCACGAAGTGGGGTCCATATAGTTGCAGCACGCCAGTTGGTTGATGTGCACCGAGTATCGGAGCTCTGCAAATGCAGAAATCCCAGGGCTCTGAGTTGGTTAGGCCCTGGGCACATAAACGTGAGGCCGACAATGCATGCTGGATATAGAGGCCGAAAATGCTAATGGGAAACCGGTCCACTATCTAAATCTGGCCGCAGGCCTTGATGAAAGAGGCGCAACTACATTGTGGGCAATGCCGACACGCTGCTGCGTTGCAAGGGGCTGGGGATCTTGGCCATTGTGGGCAATGCCGACACGCAACACTGGCATATAGGCAAGCAGGGCGAGTAGGCAGGGATCTTGGCCATTGTGGGCAATGCCGACACGCTACTGCGTTGCAAGGGGTTGTGCTGCACTAGGATGAGGAAGGCAGGCATGCGCTAAGCGGTAGAGCGCTGCCTGGGCGCTGCCTTGGCGCTGGGCGCTGGCGGCCATAGCCGGGCTGCCTCTGGGCGCAAAGGAGGAAGGGCGAAGGTGGTTCGTCGGAGGTGAAGGGCGCTGTGTGGGATAACAAGGGAGAGTGTGGGTGAAGAGGGGGACGTACCTGGTGGAGATGGGAGGTCGGCATTGGTGTTGACATCATCACTCGCTGGTCGTCAAGTTGTCTGGATGCTTTCATACTGTAGTTGTAGTGTTAGGCTGTAGAGTAGGTAGGGCGCCAGGCGCCATTCAAGAGAGAGAGCTATTAGGGTTATGCTGTTGGTGTTGCCCTGTTGGGCTTGGACATTGACTCACGATTCTTCTGTATCGTTCTCAAATGGATGGTTACTCGGTTCCATTGTGCTATCTGCTCTTGCTTTGACTACTTGGACTTCAGTGTGATTTTGCAATCTGGATTTTTGTGCTTCTTCCAAATTTATGTTCCTTGCATTTTGGAGATCTACAACCCCATTTTTTATTTTT